AGCCGAACGGTTACCATGCCGGACTGCCACGCAGAGGTCCCAGGTTCGATTCCCGGGCCGGGAGAAATATTTGTATAGCCTACATTTATTTCTCTCGTGAGTTTGGGTGTAATTTGTGGTTGTCACATATATGTGTCCATGGCACCCGCGACACAGGGTTCCCTAGTGCGGGGCTATGTTGAGTGTGTGCGTTATTAAAAAATAAAAAAACAAACAAACACATCAGCAATGTAACGGGACAGCAAATGAGTGGAGCCGATACAACAGAGGTTTTAGCCACGGCACAACATCGTTCACCACATCGGACGGCGTAGCGAATACTTGCGGTTTTGACGACCGCGACGCCCCGTGTTGCAACGCTACTGCTCCACGTTCGGTTTTTCCGGGTTACGTTTCGCTACAAGAAAAAACGGCTTTTCGCTATTTACCGGTCCCACAGTCTGCCATTCCCACGAAAAAAAAGTTGATATTAACTATAATTACATGTAAATGTTTGCTGAAATGCAAAAAAGGGATAAGCTTTCAAATAGTTTATTTCCTTAACTACTAAAGCGATCAGGGAAATAAGAAATGGAAGGGATATTCTTGCACTCTGGATCGGTAGAAAGATATAACCGCCGAGAAGAAGACGCACACGAGGCCGAGGCCGTAGAGAAGGCGCATGTCGGTGTCGGGAGGCGAGAAAGTACCGCAGCGGAGCCGAGGCTTGCACGGGCGTCGAGCGCGGGGCACGCCGCCGCGAGCCTCGATGATGAGGATCATGCCGGTCACCACCGCCCCGTACATGACCGCCACCACGTATGTTTCCACTACCAATTGGTTACCGGATTTTTTTAAATTGACGAAGTACGCCGCCCGCCGGATGCGGTTCCACATATCGCCAGCGACCATAAGGCAGCAGAAGCCTGCGGCAGCGGCAGCCAGCGTGCGCCGCGCCACTATCGTCTCCCAGCGCAGACCTAGCCCGGCCAGCACGCGCGCCACGAACACCGACACCCCCGCGAGATACAGCAGCCGCTCGTAGTTCCGCGGGCGCACGATTTTGATGCGCACATCCGTATTGGTGTACACCCACCGAGCGATGATCTCGGCTTCCGCGCCTCCATGCACGTACTCCAAGTACTCCGGCTCGGAGGCGCTGCCGCTGCGCTTGAACATAGCGAGGGAGGGCCCGGTCAAGGTGTCGGGCGGCAAAGACTCCGCCGCATCCTCGGTAAACTCGGTGATATCCACAATCACAAAGTAGATTTTTTCCGCGGAGGGGTCTGGGGGGGCCAGCGCATGCGAGGTGGCTATGGTGTAGAACTCGTTGTACACGAACTGGTATATGCTCGAGTCCCACGCGTGCGGGGCCGGCGAAAACAGTGCGACTACTGTGTACTTGCGGCCGGGCGTTTCCACGTAGTCGCGCAGCTCCATCATATGCATGCCGAGGATCGCAGGCCACCGCGATCCGTCGCTAGTCATCTGTTGCAGTATTTCGTCGAGCTTATCTGCGACCTGCTTCTCCTCCCCCCGCCCTGCCACCTCGTTTCTCTCCCCGTAATCATCATCCGCCATCACCGCACAGCAAAGCAGCAAAATATTAAGACACGTCTGCATATTGTCTTAGTTCTATTTCTACCAAGTCAAAATTTGTTGACTTTTGATATTTTTCTACTAAACTGACATTAAGGCCGGTCGCATGTTGTCAGAAATTTTGTGAGAAAAAATTGTACCTACTTGACCCCGATCTACATGAGTACACGTCACACGTGGCGCTCACTGCAGATAAGTAGGTACTACTACTGGAATGATTGAATCTAAATGTAAATAGAGAATAACTAACAATATTACATTTCGCTCAAGTTCTGTATTACAGAACAGGTGTTTATAATGCTGATTAAGACATAATAATATAAAAAATATTTATTCATAAGATATTAGGATTGTACGCGTGAGTGATGGGTACGTGAATTCAACATCATTTTTGTTTTTCCAGCTCAAATGCAAAATCTGAAATAAAATCGCTACGGTGTCAAAATTCTTTACTGAAAATATAACTTACGTCTTGTACCTACATAGCGTTCGCACTTTTTGCAGTAGTACAATAAAAGTGTCGATTTGTGTAACTTGCAGTGTGCCTGAATGTACTTTTCGACCTCGATGGACATAATACTTATAACATTCGACAGGAAAAAGTCTTCCATTTGCGTTACCTTTTACCAGATCTCATACTCTACATTGAATGTAGGTCGTATGAAAGTCGCGGACTGGATTTTTAATCGTCATAGCGCTATTTCTAATGGTGTGCGCTTGTTCGAATATTTCTGACAGTAATTTTTTTATTTTCTAGTTGGTTTTTTAGATTCGCACCGACACGTTAACCCTGACACACATCCACACTAAAACCCACTGCACCACTTACACATTGTTTTCTGCTGTTGATACACCGCACCGCGTTACCCTCTAGGCGATAGCTGAAAATCAGTGCGTTGCTTTTGGGCAACCCCTGCACTGAGCTAAGACCTGTTTGGTTTGCTGCAGCTTGCTATTAATTAATTAGCAGATATTTGTTGTTTATTAAGTATATTTATTTGATTTTTTTTTGTTATTTTGTTTGTTTTGTGTTTTTTTATATTCTTTTTCCCGGTACTTATTGTTTCCTTGTTGTGTGTGTTTGTGGAAAGTCAATAAACATTTTCTATCTGTTTATCTAAAATTTTTGTCAATTTGCAACCGCCCGGAAACCGATATAATAATCTCCTTCTTTTTGATCTTGTGTTTATTTGTAAGTCAATGTCTTTTGACGACTTTTTCGTATGAGTAAAACTTAGAGGATGAAAAAAATTAGTTTAAAATTTACTTTTATGGTTTCTCTAGAGATTAATAAACGTAGAAAACGTAGTAAGGGTTCCTCGCGATTATATAGAATTAATATTATAATTGAAAATAAAACAACGAGGAACATTCTGGTGGCTCAAGGCGCAGGAATAGCAGCTATATACTTGTGCTTCTTGATTTTTTCCGTGCATTCGATACCATCAATATTTTTCTCCTATTGTCCAAATTTGTATATTATGGTTTTGATGAACCTACAGTAAAATGGTTTGATAGCTACCTGAATAATCACTCTCAATATGTACGAATTAGTGGGAGAGATGGCTCTGTGACCTCATCGTCTCATGCCCATGTTAGCAGCGGTTAAGCTTAAGGTTCTATTGTAGGGCCTTTGCTCTGCATACTCTGGTGGTAATTAAATAATGATTGCTAAATATAAAATAATAACGCTTTCAGTAAAATATATGATCCTGAAAGTAGGCTATAAGGAATGCTGTAAGAAAGTAAGAGCTGCCTGTAGGCGAGATGTAAACGAACGACTTGTGACGGCCATGGGAACGACGGACCAAAAATGTTGTGGCACTTTTTGCGAGCTGTACTCGTCATTATGGGCAATTCGCATGTCGGACGAGCGAATAAAAAGCGTATCGACGTGGCGCGCCGACGCAGAGCGGAACGACGAAGATGATTTAAGCGCAAATTAGCGAGTGGCTTAATAGCGATCGATCGATTTGCGCGACAGTTAATCGGCATAATTAGGGCGGCGTACGAGGCGTGCGCGGACGCTGTCAGTGAATACAATTAGCGAGCATATCGGCAACACTGGAATGCGAGACGCCCCTCTGATGTGCCGACGATTCCAACACGACGACGACGAAAACTTATGTTAACGCACTAGGCCTGGTTAGAAACGTAAGCGCCTGCACCTACATTTTGATGTCGTTCTGTTCGCGACTTCAGCTAAACGCGACTGTTTCAAAATGGTACATACCTCCGAGTGAAAATCAAGTCCGCCATGATGTTGCGGAGGTCAACGCCAAGGTTTAATCCTGCGCGTCTAGTCGGCACTTGGCGCTGATGAGACTCACGGCGCTAATGGAAGGCTTACGGCTTACCATAATAAGTAATAAAAATATGGGTAATAATAAAATATTTTGTGTGAGGAATATGTGCTCGTGATTGATCTTTTAATTTTTTTTTGACGACCTCTAGCAGATTTTCAGTCTCTTCATAGTAGGGTTGCACAAGATATCTAGTGAATTTTTACTAGCATTCGTATTTGCAGAGAGCACAGAATGAAAATAATATTATTTATTCTATTATAAGAAAGGGCCTAAGAATTGAAAGAAACGCTGAATTGTGGTTGTCGCAACTAATTTTGGAGGACATATATTATTGCGTCACGAAGCCAGCAGAGATCGAGCGAAGGACGTCTGAGAGTGTTGTTTCTGATAAACGAAATAAAGAGCTGCCTGACTGTGAGAACTTTGTACGATTTGTAGAGATTAGTCGTCGGATACCCAAAAGGGAGACGTGAACTTAGTTCTCGTAGAACTTCAGTATTGCCATCTGGACTCGTTCAAGGAGATTTTAATAACGCTGCATTAAAGTACTAGGTAATTAAAAGCCATACAGTTTCAGGCATACGCATACTCCCACGTTTTGCTCATAAACGAAACCGCGTAATTGCCGCTGATTATATGCAATCAGTTTATTTTTCTGCGAGAATAACAAACCGCGAGCGCGTGAAGACATGCGCTGCGCCTGCGCCGTCAATCCCGATCAAATAGCCCGCGCTGCTGTTATAGTTACTTGTTTAATGGATATAAGTAATTCAGTTCCACATGTCAGCGCATGCAAATATGTCGGTCTTGCAATTAAACTATTGATTTACGTCGACATTATCTTGCTCCGATTAATTGCCGCTTACGGGTCCTTCCCGCTGCGCGTGCGTTTGGCTGCGTTTTTGTACCGGTCTCCTTAGGGCGCGTTCCCGTTATGTCGCGACGACAGATAGTCGTGCAGTTGTACATTTAAAATTAAGTTATTCACATATACTACAACACGATTAGCTGTCGTTCACGAGTTTTTTGACATTACGACAGACTGTCGAGACAACGGGAAGAGCTAGAACGCCAGTCGTCTGACGATAAACAAAACGTCACGATTAAAATGTGACGACATATAATCGCAGCTTCACACGATTCTGTCGTGCAAACCACAAGGCGACTGCCGTGAGCCGGTAAATTGTCGTAAAGATCTAGTGGGGATAGTGTGATACAGTCACGACAGATGTCGTGATATGGGTACAGGCTAGACGCGACAGTCGTCCAACGATAAGTAAAACGTTACGACACAATGGGAACGCCCTTACAGTGACAGTCAAAAGTCAAATCACTCTTTAGTTTAGGTGACAATTTTATTTATAATTACAATTTTTAGTTTATTTTTAAGTACGATTCATATTTGGCTTGTTTTTGTACATTGAAAACTTCTCAGCCCGTTTGCAGCGCGGTCTGCTCGTATTTGAGTTGTAGTCTTCTGAGCTTTAGCCTGAAGATTAATTTTGTCGATTTTATTCTTTAGAGAAAAAATTAAATCTACTATTTGTATGTAATGTAAGGAAGAAGAACAATTTCGCTTATTTATCGAGCTCGGCGAAGGCGGTTCTCAGGGCATCGCGTTGTGTGCTCTGAATTGTCGTGCCGTGAACGACCGCTCGTTACAGATTATGACTACATTAATATTACACTAAACGCGCGTCCGCCGCAGCTACGCGCACGCAGATTGGCAACGCGGAACCGGCAATTAGCTGACAACATGGCTGTAAACACCGGAGCACACGAGATGCAACAGCTTTCTAGCGGCACTTGATGCGTAATCGATGTACACCTACGTACTATGCGAAATACACTTCTGAAGATTAAAATATAATTATATTAAAATGTAAGAACAGTGCTATCACTTATAAATTTATGCGCTGTGTACCAATATAAAGTTTTCACCCTAATGGTAACACTTTCATCCAGAAATCGCTAAATTTTCGCACCTTGTTGGAGGCTTAGATTCGACGTAAATTTTGTCACTTGAACCCCGTTGGAAGCGGAGGTTTTGATTAATATTTTTAATAATAGGCAGGGATAACAACAGATTAAGCGTACGCATAGGTACTGGTTCGGTCTGCAGGCAAGTGTGCACGAAGCCCGCGGCGCCGGCCGATGTAACCCGTCATTACGAATCGGATCACATCGCGGTTGCGACACGCGTAATTCATAACACACGCTATATAATCGACGACGCTTTGATGGAAAGATGTATTGCTCTCGACAAACTACCACTTGTGAAATTGGAGCGCGGATTAAACGGAACAAACGTAGAATTAAACACGCACGCACGTAACAAACAAATTAAAAACCACTTTTTTGGCTGCGCACGACGACTGCGCCGCGGCCGAGACGACGACGACCCGCGGTTTAAGGCGACATGAGCGGACGGGCCTCGCGTCAAAATCGTCGTGTAATCTTATTTTTGGCGAGTAAAATCTAATTAACATCGTGTGCCTAATATGGAAACTGGCACTTGGCAGTCTAGACATTGACCCATTAATCGTGAGTTCTAAGTCGTAGGTTACTGACTCGTTTGTGTCAGTCACATACATTTGATGATATGGTGTTTCGATTTGGGTGTTAGATATTGCGTTTCACAATTCGGCGGTCAAATGTCGTTAGGAAACATTTAATTTTGTTGTCGTTTCGTAAGTACACGAGCCATGGGCGAAAGAC